TTACATTTAGGGATAGATTCAGTCTATCTTTATACTGTCATGTGCAAAATACACTTCAATATCTAAAGGAAAAAATTGAAAAAAAAAATCCAGTTTAGCTGTGTCATAACTTTAACATTTACCATTTTAAGATAGTAAATTATCTATTCCAACAACACTGTATTAGATCATTGATAGCCATACAGTTTTCTAATAATCTACCCAAAAGCATTTGAAATAACAATACTGAGATCTCAACAAAAAGGAAAAAATGCTTTACTAGTTAATATAATCTAACTACATACTGACATTTGACATTATCTACAACTAAACTTGATCTGTGCAAATCTAGGAATATCTGTGCTCACCTCAGGCTCTGAAAGCCATTGGGACAATCTGCCAAGCTCACCTGCTTGTCAAAGCCTAAGCCTGTCATAGAGAAAAAACAGAGTATAAGTAGACTTCTAAAACAAAAGCTGTGGATGTGATGTGAGGCAATTCATTTGCAGTGGCAGGAAACGAAAAAGACTGTGGATCTTCTTGTAATTTACATGTTACTCACACACCAATTTAAATGCTTAAGCAATGAGAAAAGAGGATGTCACTCATGGTATTTTCAAGGGTTGATCACTACCAGTCAGGTGCTGAGCATGCGTAAATAAGCCTTCAATAAGCACTGAAGATTCTCAGCATTTTGCAAGTAATGGCACCTTTCAGTGTAAAACCTTGAATAGGTTGCAGTTCTTCAATTTCTGTGAAAGATTTAAATGACAGTATCCAGAGTTCAGGCTGATTTAGTAGCTCTGTATAATTACAGTGAGCAGGTATGGTTCTGTCATACACATCACTATGGTTGCAAATCTAAATTTTGAAAGAAATTTTTTCTGTCACCAATAAACCGTATTTCTTAAGGAGGGGCAAAGGTAAAAATATAATGATATCATGCCACATGATCACGTTTTAACTAGTAGTAATAAAAAACAAACAACAACAACAAAAAAACACTAGTTTGAATCTGCTGAAAAAAAGAAACAAAGCAGATAAATGGAACAAAACATGAAGCATTAAGTCATTCCTGCAGAATTTTAAGAGAAAACAATTCAGTAAAATGATTGTTATTTGTAAAATTTGCCCTAGCAGGATACTTTGCTTACTACAATCTCCTGGCTGGAAAAAGTATTTATTTTTCTCTGACAGATCTGTTGGAATAGTCTGTTACACCCCAGCATTAGTACTTACAATCAAAGTGACAAGGAAATCCAGGCTCTATTTAAATGCATGAAAATAATGCTTATTTGGGAAATATCAGTCATTAGGACTTCTTGATTCACTGAAGTAAAACAACAGGCTGGATTCAGCATTTTGTTCCTGTAATTACGATGATGCTTCTATCCTCTATCTTCCTGACTATTTTTTATTTCTAGTCGATGTTAACTTAAATGCAGAAATAGTGAAATACTTCCAGTTGATCTTAGCTTAAATGCAGAAGCAGTGAAATACATGTTTTATTTGCTTTTTTTTTTTTTTTTTTTTTTTTTTTCCCCACCGAAAGAGTCTATTTAGGTACAAATGCAGTCTTTCAAGATAGTGTGTATTATGCATTACACTGCTGTAAGGATTATTCAGCACAATGGAGTCCTGACACCCTCAAGCCTCACATAAATACAATACCACAATGTATTAAGGATACATGTTCACCATAATTACTACAGAATTGGCATTTATTCTATTTGCTTTTTCATTTCATGTTATAGAATGTCCATATACATCTCATAATTAACATAACTTCCCATAATGCTTTGTTACAGTTTCACTAAATATATACCAATTTACCTTTATTTGCCTACAGCCCCAATACATAACTTTCAAAATTGATGATAACGTTTTCTGCAGAATTGACTGAAAAATGGCAAACAAACTATTGCAAAAAAAAGAATAGTAAGCTGTTTGAAAAACTGGAATCTGTAACATCTCTGACATAGCTGTCAGAGCCAAAAACAGCCTGTATGGAGTTATTTTTTCTCGTTCGCATTTCCAGGGGCTCTCGTGAGAATTAGCTGAAATAAAATGCATTATCAAAATACCATGTTGCTTTTCAATTAATAATGAGAATTGTTTTGTATTAAATTTAATTATGCGTAAAAGCAAGAAATAAATATATTGCTAAATATATGATATTTATAATATAATATGTAAATATATTGCTACTATAATAATCCTGTAGCATCACTAAGTTGTGACATGTTATTGTTTGTTTTGAAAAATTAGGAAATATTCAGCAGATACAAAGATACAAGATATCTACTGAGATACAAGATATCTACTGAGATGCTATCGTTTGTATATACTTCTTTATAAAAAAACAGTGCATAGCAATAACCAGAATCTGACTGCCTCTGTTTCCATTGGCACAATTGCTCCATTTTCTCATCTTCTTTTGTTCTGAGGTAAGACACCTGAGGGATATTTCCTTCCATTTTCTAGAATCTATGTTCACAGCTTTAAAAAGGACTTCCAGTGCCAAGTTTTCTGTTTTTGAGAGGAACTGAGAAATTTTTCTTAGAAGATTTCATGCTGCCCTTCTACTGCTTTTCTTTTCCAGTGGAGCCACATGCATCAAGCCTTAGAGATAATACTCCAGAGGCCAATAGCACCTAGCACTGCAGAACAAGCAGAGCAAATGGTGCAGCTGAATCAATAGATAGATGCGTTGCCCCAAAGAGAAAGCCAGGCTGAAGAGAAATTGATGTAACCTGGCTAAAATAAGGGGATTAGGAACAGTCCTCATTTGATGGATTTAATATAAGTTTACAAATCCTATGCCAGTCACTAATATTTACAAAATTGGGTCCTTAGTTTCTAGAGGGTTGTCTATTTCCTAGATTAAAGGAGGACAACAATAGCATACAGATAATAGTTATAGTTTACCCATTCAAATCAACACTAACTTTCTATAAGTCTTGAGATTTCTTAACTAGAGACAGAATAGTTGGTAGAGAAATTAGTTAATAGTGTTTTTCTTTAAAATTTAGAGCTTTTCTATTACTACCTTAATTTTGAACGTCACAGGAAGTATTAGTTTTATATATATATATATATATATATATTTAAAGCTACAAGTAGTACAGATAAACTGTTACAGTCATAATTTTAGCCTTTTTATGGAAAGGTGTTCAAGTGGTTCCATTGAAATAAATGGGACAAATGAAGTGAATGACCATAAACATGAATGAAGACTCTACAAACTGTTCTTTTCTACAATTTCTTTTCATACACACACAATGAAACAAAACAAACAAAAAAATGTTTGGGGTACGAATTAGCTTGTGATTTTCCCTTAAATTGGGGAGAGTTTTGTAAGGCAGAATATAAATAATTTATTGCAGGAAATTAGGACTTGATTGGGACTAAGCAACATGCAGAAGGAAGAGCTAATAGTAGAGTGTAGCATGTAGCTACCAAAGGACAATCAGATTTGCAACATAGTAAATAAAAAAGTTGTCTACTGAAGAAGAATGTATCTTCTGTATGATATAAAATCTTGCCACATCAAAATCTGTTGTTTTTTAAAAGAAAAATTATATTTGCCTATTTTACGAAGATCAACTGCTTTTGCCACAGAACAAAGAAAAAAAAAAGAGTACAGTATTCATGATAAATGAATATAAATATATATATATAATAGTATAACATATAAAATATATTTATATATTTATATATATATATATATATATAGTGTTAATGGTAAATGCTGTGTTAGTAATAATTTCCTTGAAAGTAATGGGAAAAACTTTCAAAGCTGTGAACTGCTTAGACCTAAGAAACTTCTTAATACAGAAAACAACCATTTTTTATAACTCCTGAGACACTAAAGAAAATAATTGCCCTATTGAGCAGTACTATAAGAAATGAAACAATTGGTAGCTTAAAAGAGGCTATGATTGGACATGCACATTTCAGCAGTGTACCCAACAAAGGTCCTCCTAGTAGGGCTCCAAACAGTTTATTTTCTTTATTCAAAAAATATAACAAAAATTACAGCTGAAACATTCAAGATCATAAAAAATATACAAGCCCTACTTTAAAAATATTATGCAAGACTGGAAGTGCTCTAATCTTCATTTCTACTTCTACCTTGCAAATATATCATCCAGTCTGGCAGTATGATATGACCTCAAAGTTCCATGATGAAAATGATCCATAACAATGCATTGTAAGGGGTGCATAGCTTTCAGTTTGGCTATACCTTTATTACTGTAAACTACATAATAAATCCATAGATGTCATTAAAGGTGGAATAATTTGCATCACCTAAGAGTGTAAATCCACATGTCAGGAGATCTCAAAGCTTGCTAAACAAGTGTCGGTCCATTCCTCAAAAAAATATCATTGAAAGAAATGCTAAGAAATTCTCATTTAATATTAGTTAATAGTCCTGATGAAGTTGAAACACACAGTCATATTTTTATATTTGCCTAAGCAATGATAGATGGACCTAAAAATATTCATAAGTTTAACAACCTTTAACAACTGATTGTAGAACATTTCTGAGCTTAAATTAACTCTGTCTAGCACACTAGGTCAAATTCTGCTTTTAAATGACTAGAACTGTATATGATAAAAATTCTTTGCTCAAGTATTTCAGTCTTTTCTCTTTGGCTTCTCAAGAAAATACAGGAGAGGTCTTCCTTATTCTTACTGCCTGCAAGCCATATGTCTACCCACTGAGGTAATGAAGACACACTGTTAAAACGTAGGATGTAATAAGGGCAAAGGAAAAAAGTTAACATAATTACATTTCTTCAATTTTCAGGAGGGCTTAAAATTAAATTCAAAGAGCATTCATATTTTGAGGGAAGTGGCTTATTTTCCTTCGAACTGCTACTCTACTTTTAGGGGATTAAAATTAACTGCAAAAATTCCATTGGAATAAAATAAACAGAGAAAACTGTGTCTGAACTTCATTTTGATTAAAAGAGAAGAAAGATTTCAATAAACCTGGAAAAAAAAAATTAACTTACCAGCTTGACCAAGTGTATACTCCTGATATCTTGTTCCTATTCTGTTTGTGGCTGTACAGTTATACCGTCCAAAATCACTGTCAGATGTGGGAGCAATCTTTAAAATGAATACAATTTGAAAATATTACTTTCTATTCAAATAACAAAGTTCTTTTAAAAAATCAGAAATGCAAATATGTTCCATTTAACTAATATGCAGATGAGTTCTTACTTCAGCCTGTCTAGTATATTCCCCAAAATACAGATCTAGATTCACCCTTTTTCATGTTAAACTCCCCCTTTTCAAATTCAAATTAGGAAATCAAATAATAGGAAATGGTGACATTGTTTATCTCTATAATTTCACTTTTGAACAAAGAAGGAAAAAATTAATAAACTGCACATTTGTTCACAAAGACACTATTTGCACATATTTTGATTAAACTAAGCAATGATAGGTCTGAAAATTGCTGTTCCTATAGATAATGCAAGGACAATTTTTATTTTATTTATTTATTTTTTTTTATTTTAGTTTATGGGATTCACAATACACTGGACACTCAGGGGAAAAAAAGAGAAGTTGCCAGGGAACAGCATAAGCTTTCTTTGTAGTTAACCAAGTGGCTCTATAACATTTATTCTAGGTGGTATGGGTCTGTATTGACTTTTCAAAATAGCACCAAAGCGTGGATTAACTGCCAACCTATATAAATTAGCAGAACACATTTCAGTGATAGTCCAAACTTTTCTTTAAGGGAACTGTGGAGACTGTTTCTTGGAAAGGTGTGGTTTTGTAAGTGTCAAATTATCAACAGCCTCTTTCCTCCATATAATTTAACATTTGAAACAGGTGTTTCAATTTGAATTTTGAATCAATGTTTCAGTTAATGTCAGATGTTGTCATATTTTTTTCCTCCAGAATTATTAAGCTAGTCCTGATGACTCCATCCAGTTCAATCAAAATAACTGAAATCTACTTCCGTTGAGCGAGGTTAAAGTTAATACAGCGTCAAAGAATCATAGAAGGGTTTGGATTGGAAGGGACCTTAAAGATTGCCTTATTCCAACCCCATTGCCATGGGCATGGACACCTCTTACCAGACCACATTGCTCAATGCCCTATCCAGCCTGGCCTTGAACACTTCCACAGGTGAGGCATCCACAGATTCTCTAGGCAACCTGTTTCAGTGCCTCACCATCCTCACATTAAACAATTTCTTCCTAATATTTAATCTAAATCTACCCTTTTTTAGTTTAAAACCATTACTCTTTGTTCTATCACTATATGCCCTGACCTGCTTTCCTGCTTTCCCTTTCCTGCTTTCTTGGAGGCCCCCTTTAGGTACTGGAAGACTGGTATAAGGTCTCCCTGCTCTGGTATAAGGTCAGCCTGCTCTTCTCCAGGCTGATCAACCCCAACTCCCTCAGCCTGTGTTAACAGGAAAGATGCTCCAGCACCTTTGTGGTCCTTCTGTGGACTCACTCCAACAGGTCCATGTCCTTCTTGTGCTGGGGGACCCACAACTGAACCCAGTGCTCCAGTTGGAGTCTTATGAGAGCAGAGCAGAGGGGAAGAATCACCTCCCTCAACCTGCTGGTCATGTTGCTTTTGATGCAACTCAGGATATGGTTGGCTTTCTGAGCTGCAAGTGCACATTGTCAACTCTTGTTGAGCTGCTCATCCACCAACAGCCCCAGGCCCTTCTCAGGGCTGTTTTCAATCCATTCTCTGCCCAGCCTGTATTCATGCTTGGGATTGTCCCAGCCCAGTTTCAGGACCTTGCACTTGGCCTTGTTGAACTTCAAGAGGTTTGCACAGGCTCACCTCTAAGGCCTGTCAAAGTCCCTCCGGATGGCAGAGGTCCCTCTGGTAAACCACGTCACACAGCCTGGTGTCATTGGCAAACTTTCTGGGGGTGCACTAGGTCCTACTGTCCATGTCACCAACAAAGATATCAAACAGCACCAATATCAATACTGACCCAGGGGTCAATATTGGAACACCACTGTTACTGATCTCCACTTGGACATTGAGCCATTGACATCAACTCTCTGAGTGTGACCACCCAGCCAATTGATTAATATGTGATGAGGTAAGTAAAAACCATTCATGCTTACCAAGGTTTAGCTAACCTGTGTAAGCTCACTAAAACCAGAGGCTACATATGAGTTCTCAGGCAAAATAAAGGATCAGTTATTAGAATGACTTAATATTTCCTTTCTGTCTTCTTCCCACAACATAACACAGATCTGTAAATTTATAGTTAATTCCAGTAAGGGCTACAGAGAGCAGATAATGATTTGCTATCATAGACCATTTCTCAACAGATAAATGTCATCAGTTGTCATCATACATGCATAAATCAGCTTGTCATTTATTTTAAAATTCTTCATGTCATTATGCTCTATTCTGACATTGAATTACATAATGATGCACATTCTCTTGCTCCCCTCTTATCCAATTTCCCATGAGACAATCACTTCACATCTCACAGAAAACTAGACTTTTCTATTACAACTAATGCTTCTGAAAGCAGCAACAAAGTAACACACATACTGTAAATTTCAAGAAATTAGGTTCATTGTTTGAACTTTAGGGAAAAGACACAGCTTATTTCAGAATATCATATACATCTGGCTTGGGATCTGATGTAGGACCCCCAAACGTATTAGCCCTACAGCTTCTGAACCATTTTTCCCATGGCAACAGAGAAAAAATATGCTGAAGTTGCTGATACTAGATGTAAACAAAGAAAACTAATTTCCTCCACACTAATTTCCTCACAGGAGAGAGTATCTAGTTGATGTAACAGGTGAGACCAGGACTGGAGGTAGCGGTTGAATACACTTTGTTGTGAAATCATTAATCAAAGAACATGACTTGTTGTACATTACTATGCAGTAGTTCACTATTTAGTCATGATGATACATTTAGAGATTAATAATAATAACAATAATAAAGATAATAATAATAATAGAAATAATTGCCATCAAAACCAACTGCAGTTTAGCTTCACTTTCCCCTTCTGCTTTGGTCTTGACTGAAGTCACACATACATTTTTGTATATACCAAGCACCTACCAGATAGTTACTCTAATTTTTACTATCAACCCCATGGATTAATATTATATTTACGCATTTATTTACTTGCAATAAATGCAGGTAACATTAGCATTCAGTGTAGATGCAAAACTGAACAAAAGCCATGTACATGAGGTTTATTTTCCAAATGTTCACAAGAAACGTGGAGATAAATCAGTTCAAACATAGTTTTTATTTTTTTATTTTTTATTTTTTAAAGAGCTTTACTTAAATTATAAATCTTAACCTTAAGCACACTGCATAAGACTTGCAATGGTGCCAAACTGAAGAAGAAATGAATTAACTAATGTCACAATGTTGATTTATTTTTTAAGCCTTACCTCTAGAATCAGCTTTCTTCCTGCACTGTAGGTCTTCAGATGTGTTGTATTTTTTACAGGTAGAACTAATTTTCCTCTCCTCCACTGAATTATGGCAGATGGATTTGCTAGCACTTCACATGTTATATTGATGGGATTGCCTTCCCAAGAGTAATGCATGGTCTGATTTGACACAAATGTTGGAGCATCTGAAAAACGGAAGTAATACACAAATATGTTAACTGTTTTAGTATAAAACATACTGTATAACTCCATTGAAGTACTACTCTTCTAAAGTTTTAACTGAATGCTGTTTCAATTTATTACTAACCGTGACAACATCAGTGTTCAACCCTGTTTTTTTTTAAGCTCTTATTTTCATAGGTTTCTCCTCTGCTGAAATCATTTCAGCTGAAATTTTCAGGAAGAGAAAACCTGCTAATTATATTTAACATTAGGCAACATCAGGCCCTTGAAAGATGTGTCTCAGAAATGACAAAAACTGTTTCATCCTAATGATGAGAAACTCTCCAGCCAGACTCTGGGAAAGGCACAGTACATTTTGTAGGGTGCATTATTACATGATGTTTAGGGTTCAGAGCCCCTGAAGTGCAAAAAAGTAATAGGCAGGTTCCTTCTCTGGTGATGTCTGCAGATGGATGTGTGGATGTGGCCCTGGGTTCAGTGTTTTAGCACATTGACTTCCCAAGCTGTTTATTACCTCCCAATGGCTGGTGACAAAGGGAGGTGTAGTATGAAAGAGTATGTACACTGTTCAGTTGCTGATTTTATTGTGTATCCTTTTGCCATGGAGAAATTACACTCACTCTGAATGTTCATAGATGTAAACGCTTCACCAATTTCCTATCAGATCATATACTTTATGAAACCTTTCTAAAGAAAGATGCTTAGCTGTGTGAATAAACCTAGAAAAAAATAATGAAAGAAAAAAGAACACCTAAAATTTTGCTATGCATTTTACCTACTTCAGATAAAACATTGTGCATATGAGTACTTTTTTAATTTAGGCTAATCTTCATGCCAGTTCCTTAAGAAATCATCAAGCTACAGAAAAACAAAGAGATGGTTCATCTTCTTTACAAACCTGCCTGTAAATGGCTATACTAAACATGCAGCCAAACACTGAATCAGATACAGAGAAAACTGCTGGCTTGCAAGCTAGTTATATTTTTCAGATCACAATGCCAGCAGTGACAAGGCTCTTCCATTCTACTCACTGTTTCCCTGGAAAACCGAAGCAGTGTAATGGTCTTCAGAAATGAGCAAGAGTGATTCTTTCCTTCTTCTCTGCTTCTGTCTTAGGTAAATCATATTTTTTGTCTATTGAATATTTATTTTGAAATCAATTTTCCATTTTAATCCCACTCTTATATTTTAAGAGTATTAACTACATATTATTTACATTACTGAAAGCAAAGGAAACACAAAGTTCTTAAAGAGAATTATCAGTTATAGCTGGTGTCATGGTATCTCTTTTTAATACTTGAACCTTATATGTCTATATTTATATTTTAAAAAATAGCTCTAAAATGCTTCTAGTTGTGTCCCTGGAAATTCTGTTCTAGTCTTCTAACAATTAGTTTAACTTTACACTAGAAAATTCCTACTAGGTCTATTAGAGACTAGAACACATTTTACTGAACAGTGAAATTTAGCTTCAGGAATGGTTTTAAACTACTTTCTTGTTTCTGAAGTACATGTTTTCAACTTCTTTTTGTGTCTGCCTTTGTGCAAAAATGCAACTTTTTGGTTTTATTATGCTTCTGGTGCATGCACACATACAGGCTTAGATCAGAGAAAACTGTCATCTATTCTAAGCACAGATCAAGTCTGCTACATTGTCAACGCCATCAACATTTTATTTTTTTTAGTAAATATTCAGCCTTTATTTTTATAAAAAAGGAGATGATTTCATCCAAGTAACTGAAATATGTCTTCCTATAACTTTATTTACAAGACACAGGTGCTCTTCTTTCCTTTTCAGATGTTATGGTAAGTAATTCTACTGCTCTTTGATTCTCATAGACCTTTAAAAACATATTTTAACATCTAAATATATTTTTGCAAAGAATGGACTAATAAAGAGTATTCAGAATATGACATATCACAACAGTGGATCTCTGTGAAGATAAAAGCAAACTTTGCATATGCCTGATTTATGCTTAGGTATGGTCAGGAATGCCAAAATGCCAAGAGTCAGACACTCGGCTTCACTTCCTCTGGAAGTGAAGTTAGCAGTGGGATCCACCTGAAGGAAAACTGCATGAACTGACTTCTTCCTGGCAGACAGCTTTTGCACTGAATGTGTGTTCAACATATGGGTCACAAATCTCATCACAGTGTGTATGAGACACAAAATGAAGTTATTTAACAACAGATTTTAGATAAGTCCTGTCCTCCATAATGGACAATTTCTCAAAGTAACTTCACTTTGTCAATGAACACTGGCATGAATGTGGCAGATAGAAAGATGCTCTGTTAGAACCCAAATAACTTTCCCCTTTTAGGAAAAAATCACATGGTTTGATGCTTTCTGTTGATTTAAGTATACATTTGGCCAAGACGTTTAGATGTAGAGCTTAGGGATATGGTTTAGTGGGGACTGTTAGCATTAGGTCAGAGGTTGGACTCGATGATCTTGAGGTCTCTTCCAACCTAGAAATTCTGTGATTCTGTGATGCTGTAATTCATATCCTACTTCCAAGACTTACATGTGAAAAGGGAGTGTACAGTTTCTGTAGGTACAAGCATATAGGAGAGTAGTGACTTTTGGTTCAAATTGCTCTGTCTTCTAAAGGCAGATTTTGGATCCCTGTACTATCTGTTTATTTATATTTTAAAAGAGTAGGTGAGTTCTGGACTGTAAAAGTCCTTCAGATAAAGCTATATCAAAATCAACAACTCTAAAATGCAAAGCATTGCTAAATAAAATAAGCTTTATGTTTTCTCTCTCAAAAGACTGGAAAAAAAAAAAAAGGCTTTGCAGTAATTTCCCCAGCAGCTGAAAGATCCAATTGTAGCCAACAGAAGAAGATACTTTCAAACAAATCACCTTAAATAACATGCTCTTTGATTTGCTAGTCAGGAATAAATAATGAGTGATGTTTCATACAAAGAAAATAGCTCTGGAAATATTTCATAGAATCATAGAATCATAGAATGTCCTGAGTTGGAAGGGACCCTTAAGGATCATCAAGTCCAACTCTTGACACCGCACAGGTCTACCCAAAAGTTCAGACCATGTGACTAAGTGCACAGTCCAATCTCTTCTTAAATTCAGTCAGGCTCGGTGCAGTGACCACTTCCCTGGGGAGCCTGTTCCAGTGTGCAACCACCCTCTCTGTGAAGAACCCCCTCCTGATGTCAAGCCTAAACTTCCCCTGCCTCAGCTTAACCCCGTTCCCGCGGGTCCTGTCACTGGTGTTAATGGAGAAAAGGCCTCCTGCCTCTCGACACCCCCTTACGAGGAAGTTGTAGGCTGTGATGAGGTCTCCCCTCAGCCTCCTCTTCTCTGTACTTTTTTAAAGTACAAATAAAATATATCCTTATATATTGTTAGATATTTCTTATACAATAACAAAAAAGCCAAATTGAAATGAAATAACTTTTATAAGAACATTTTTTTCCTCTGGATGCTTTCATCGCTAACTGTAGTATACTGTGCTTCAACGGTTACAAAATTGTGTAAATAAATGTTAGTACTAAACGTTACAAAACGTTTAGTATTGTCATGACTTTGGGTGAGACAGAGTTAATTTTCTCCATAGAGGCTCCCACCATGCTGTGTTTAGGATTTTTGATGAAAACAGTGTTGTTTTCATGCCAGTGTTTCTAGTTGTTGCAAAGCAGTGCTTACAGAGTCAAGGCCTTTTCTGCTTCACACTGCCCTGCCAGCGAGGAGGCTGGGGGTGCACCAGGAGATGGAAGGGGACACAGTCAGGACAGCTGGCCTCAACTGACCAAAAGGATGTTCCATGTCATGTGACATCATGCTTAGCCATAAAAGCTGGGTTAAAGAAGGAGGAAGGGGAGAACATTTGGAGTTTGTCTTCCCAAGGAACCATTACACTTGATGAGCCCTGCTTTCCCAGATGTGGCTGAGCACCTGCCTGCCAGTGGGAAGTAATGAATGAGCTCCCAGTTTTGCTTTGTTTGTACATGTAGCTTTTGCTTTCCATAGTAAATGTTATCTCAACCCATGAGTTCTCACACTTTTATCTTTCCAATTCTCGCTCCCATCCCACCTGGGGAGAGTGAGCAAGTGGCTGTGTGCCAGGTTGAACTACAGCAGTCCTTTTGGCTCTCAATGTTGGGCTTGAAGGGTTAAAGATGATGACAGATTTGATTAAAATGTGGAGTGTGCTAGAGCAAAATTTACAGATGCTATAGCTGTTTAGATGCTAATTCACGGGCTCCTGTGCTTGATAGGGGATTGCTCACCATACTGTATGTTACAATCCAGTGCTTGTTTGTGGATGCTTTTGCTTCTGCCATTTGCTCTACACCTTATCATCTTGCTTTGCTCTGCCTGGGAACATTTTGATAACAGTTATGGCCATCCAGCTGGCCATAACAGGTCATCACTGCTGTTCCTGTGCTGCTGTACTGGACAGGCTGGAAATCCAAACTGAACTTGAGTCAGAGGGACTGTGACTACGTAGGAACACATACACCCCGAAGTGTCTCTGGCCATGGATAAATCCACTCATTAAAATGCTAAACCCTATGGCCTGGTCCAAAAGGACAAAGGGTGGAGATTGTAATGGATATGCCTTTAAACTCTTGTAACCCATGATTTGAGTTGCATGTCATGAGAAGTCCTATAGCAGAAACCTCTCACGCCAATAGGCAATGAGCCTCACAAGACACAGTGCAAGTGCAGCAGTGACCTGAACTGAGCTGGCTTTGGTGTCCAGTATCTCTATGCAGTGCACTGCCTCTCCTGTGCTGAGTGACCACCATAGCAGAAACTGACAGGTAGCATTACAATTAGGAGTGTATGTATGTGGTAACCCATATACTGTACAAGAAGATTGTGTAGGAGAAGCAAAGTCTGACCTGAAAAGTGTCTCTAGCTTTTAGATATCCTTATTAGGCGTAATGTCTGAGAACAGTGATTTAAGAACAGACCCATAAATCATCTGTCTCATTCAGAACGTAATTCAATTAACAACTTCAAAGATCCAGC